TTATTTTCATGTGGCCTTGTTTCCTGCCCATGTCCGCTACTGTACGATACGGGTCAACGGTGCATTGTGGGAGTGATACGTAAAGTCTGTGGGTGTGGGGTTCCTGCCCTCTTTGAGCCGCGGACCCGCCTCGCCGGGCACCTAGGTCCTTACGGGGACCTAGGTGGGACCACCCCTCCTACTCCCGTATCCTAATACCTAGAATGGTTACTATGGGTTGAGGATAGTTATCTTGGGCTGGGCGTCCCCCACACCAAGAGCCAGTAGTAGGGCGTCCCCCACATCAGGCCGGTGCGCGTAACAGGGAGATTCCGGTACTCCCTTTCAGATTAAAGTCATCGGCTTACGTGTTTTCCAAAGTCATCGCGGTGGTGGTCCGCTTTTTGTGAGCCCCTCGGTTGGCTGTGCCCCGGCAGCCCCGTTCGATGTGGCCTGGCCTTGCAGCCATCTGGCTGGCCAATCTGGCGCTGTTTCTACTGCCTTACTTGGACGACTTCCTCACGGTCCATCCGTCCAGCCGCGATTTGCGCCGATTTGCCATCCATTTAGGAGCTGCACTTCGCGATCTGGGCCTCCAGCTAAAGGGCTCAAAGTCTACCTTGGTGCCTACCCAGGAATTGTCCCACCTCGGATTTGTGGTCAATTCCAGGTCTGCCACGTTTGCGGTGCCTCCCAAGAAGGTCGATCAGATCAAGGTCCAAGTCTCAACCGTGCTGAGCATTGCCTTGTGTCAGGCCCGATTTCTCAAGGCCAAGCTCTTGGCTCGCTTCCTAGGCCAAGTTCAGTTTCTGGCCTTGGCAGTGAGGCCTGCACGTTTCTTCCAGCGGAACCTGCACCTTGCCTTGGCAACCAAGACTTCGTGGCACAGCATGATCAAGCTTCCCCGGGCAGCCCTACGCGAGATGCGCTTTTGGCAACGTCTCCTAGCGCGCTTTCAATCGGCCCCCTTCCTCAGGATGCCCCACCAAGCTGTGCTGGCAACGGATGCATCGCCAATCGGCTTGGGTGCCGAATTGACAGAGCCTGTTCCCCAACCGCAAGCACCCCCCCCTCCAGCCTTGGCCCGCGGCTTTTGGTCCCACTCAGAGAGGCTCCTTCATATCAACGTCCTCGAGCTGGAGACCGTGATACGAGCGGTGCGGACCTTCTTGGGGCGGCTGCATGGGAGGCATGTTTTGTTGATGACAGACTCACAGGTCGTCTATCATCTGCTGCGATCATTCAAGTCGAGAGTCGATCCACTCTACAAGCGATTACAACATCTGTTCTACATCCTGGATTCAGCCAGAATCGTCTTTCAACCGAGGTGGATCCCCACAACAGACAACGTGCTGCCCGACATTTTGTCCAGGCTACGCGATGCCGAAGACTAGCAGCTCAACCCTACCTTCTTCCATCTTCTCAACTCCCTCTTCAGGCCCCACCACGTGAATCGCTTCGCGTCGGCACTCAACCGCTAGTGTCTTCGGTACAACTCCAGGTGGGCCGACGTGGGGTCCAAAGGGGACGCTTTCGCCGCGCCCGATTGGGCGGCTGCGAACAACTGGGTGAATCCCCCCTGGACGTTGCTTCCCCGGGTGGTCGCCCTGCTCTCCAACCTCCCCTCGGTGCAGGCCACTGTTCTGGTGCCCGAGTGGGTGGGACGACCATGGTTCTGCCAGCTCCACACCCTCGCCTGGGCCCGCATTCCAATCCCCAGGAGCCCCTCGACCTTCCTTTCAGGACGCTCGGGACATCTTCCCCAAGGGCTCCCCCGGTGGTGCATCGTGGCGCTCCGATTGGATCGTCCTTCGCCTACACCCACAATGGTGAAAGCTTTGGAGTCCCGGCACTGGCAGCGCCTCGCGCGCTCAGCCCAGCTCCAAATGCTCCAGTGAGCTGCCCTCCGACGCCCTCTCAGGAGCCGACTGCCTCCGGCGGTTCCCAGGACCTCTGCCCACGAGAGGCGCCCTCTGAACCGCCCTTGGCAGTCCTTTAGCGTCCTACAGCGGCCTCCAATTCTACGCAGCACGATCTACCTCAAGCCCCCCCTTCGTTCACGCATGCTCTCTCTGCACTTTTCCGCCCACCTACCTCCTGGCCCCCGCTGGTAGCTCCCTCCTTCGAGCCTCCGGTCGTCGCTGGCCTCTCCGATGTCGAGGCCGCCTCCATCCTCCGTGCCTTGTCTACCTCCAATGCCCCTTCCGGCCGCTCAAGCATTATCTCCAAGTTCAAGCGCTGGTGGCGTTATTGCAGCACGGTGCCTTGCTCGCCGATCCCGGCACACCGGGGCCGGCTCCTGTTATACATTGCGGCCCTTCGTCAATCCGGGATCAGTGTACGATCTGCACCCCAGTACCTCGCGGCGATTACAACAGTCCACCGGTGGTTTGGCATCGACGACTGGTCAGCCACCTCTACGGCTTCCAACGCGATACTCGCTTCGTGGCGGCTGGACATCGCAGATCACGAAGCTAAGGATCAACCTACGCCCTTCCCGGCTGCAGCCCTCTCTCGCCTTCTCCACCTGGTCTCCGGCCACTCTCCACTCCCCCAGTTGCGCGCCGCGCTGCTATTGGGGCTGGACTTCGCATTCTTCAACCGCGGCGATTCTACGTTCCCAATTACGGCTACCGATCTCAAGGTCTGCGAGGGCAAGATCGTCTTCCGCGAGGTGCGCTTCAAACGCAAGCGCAATGACCGGCTACAAAATCGGGTCTAGCAATTCGACGCTACGGGAGTCCCCCGCCTCCTCGGTATCCTCGAGGCTTACCGCGAAGCGCGCCTCACGGCGTTCAGCCCCACGCCCCCGCCCCAATTCATTTGGCAGCGCCCCGGCGAGTCTCCCCCATGCCCAGCCTGGTTCACCACCATTTGTGCCCAGGCCACCGCGTGGTGGCCCTCCCTCTTCGACGGCGATCACCGCCACCACGATCTGCGGCTATTGTGTAAACTACTAGGGGGTAGCCGGTTTACTCAACTTATACACTGGGAAGTGATAATGGACATAAGATTGTACCTAGATGGGACAGAGGAGGCTATTAGCTTTCCATAGGTCTTTGAATCATCCCAAACGGGTTAGCGGCAGTGGAGTTATGGCTTATAGAAGTTCCAGTACTTCAGGTTGGGCCCCTACTGTACTCGGGGATGAGATACTATCGATACGGGTACATCCGATACATTGTTCTATCGATTGTGTACCGCTGCATGCGGGGGTCATGTGACCGACCCCGCACGTCAGCCTGTAATTCCATTGTGCCCACTCTCGCCTCCCAGCGGCTGCACCCGCAGGCCGCAAGGCGCCGCGCGCACCCACTACGCGTACGGCAGCCCCGCGCCCGGCCATTCTGCAGGCCTGGGCCCACACTGCGCATCCGAAGACACGAGCGCCCCGCAAGGCCCGCCGGCCATCCGGCGGAGGGGGCCCCGCGGCCCCATCGGGCGCCTCGGCGGGCGCATCGCCCGCGAACACACCGAAAACCACGCCAGCGGCGAGGGGGAGCTACCGCGGCGTATGCAATTGGGGTCCCCCTGGAGACAATCTGCTATTGGGGCGGCTGGACCTTTGGGAGCGAGGCGGTCTTCTCCTACATCGATTTCTCTCACCAGCCCACGGAGGAGGACGCCGCCTGGGCTGGATGCGCCGTGACGCGGCCTTCCTCGCCGCTCAATTCTGCCATCTCCACCGGCCTCCCTCCCCCTCCTCCGAGCGGCCCCCCGCTGCCTCTCCTGCCACGCCTCCCCCGGCCGCCGACGAGGCCATGCTGGACGCCCCCTCGCTGCCTTTGCCGCCCGGCTCGGCCGGCACTTCAAGCCCAACTTCCCGGCGACTCTGCCCAGTTCGGCGCAGGTCCGCAGGGGACCTTTGACTCCTTTTCAGGCCAGTTCGCTTGCCCTATTTAGCATAGCAATCGCGGGAAGCATGGCAAACTGGTGTGACGGCACTCGAAGGCATCAGAAGTGCAGAGTACTCTGCGTATGTTTTCTTCAGTTTTAGAGTAGATGGTTAGGCGCCTTGAGTGTGCCCTCCTGACCCGAGTTAACACAAAGAAGCAGGTCTATAAACGGGTGGGCAAGACCCCCCGAGATTTAAGCGGAATTGACGGAATGAAATGGAGTGAATGTGTTTAAATCGGGATTAGGGCCGTTGGGAGGGAACTTTGGACGGCCAACGGGAGTGTCCGTTGTGGGTACACTTGGATTCGGTGTGATTGGCGCTGCCTCTACGCAAACTGGGTATGACTGGCTTAGTGAGAAAGTGTTTGGCACAACTCTTAAAGTTGTGGCTAGCTTATGGGCAGCGACCCTTGTTTCAGGGCGCGGTTGGTGATAAAGTCCAGGAAACCGAACTGAGCACAGTTTGCACGGCTGGGAACGCTGTTTCAAGACGATCCGTGCAAACGGGGAACTTGGGACTAAAGGTTGGCGAAACGAGTGTGTGGCTATCTCGTTTTTCGCTCCCGTCCACCTCATCCCAGGTTATTGGCTTGAATTTTAATGTAAGGAGAGACAATTGGCAAACTGGTGTGACGGCACTCGAAGGCATCAGAAGTGCAGAGTACTCTGCGTATGTTTTCTTCAGTTTTAGAGTAGATGGCCAGGCGCCCCGAGTGTGCCCTCCTGACCCGAGTTAACACAAAGAAGCACGTCTATAAACGGGTGGGCAAGGCCCCCCGAGATTTAATCCGTTTACTATGTTTTTAGCGGTTTTTCGGGTCTTCCATACAGACAGTACTTGGCTGCCCGCGCCGTTTCGGCTTCCAATCGCAAGAAAAACCCGCACACACCCCAGTAGTTAACTGCGCGGGCCCACGGGGGCGGCGCACGTTGACCGCGCGGACACTGCGACCGGCCCTGGAAACCGTCGGGGGCCCGACGTCCGCACACACACCCCTCCGTGCGCCTCCCTCCCCCGCCGCCTCTCCCGCACACACACCGTCGAGCGGAGGGCCATGCCCGGCGCGCGCGTTGCCATCACGGCCCCGGGCGGCTGATCGGCGTGTGGCGGTTTCCGCGCCGGGATGCTGCGGCGGCTGCGGTGGGCGCTGGCGGCCGCCTGGCGATCGGCGCCGGACCGCCGGGGCCCTGCGCGGCGCCGTGGGGGACATGAGGCGATCCCGGGCGCTTGGGGGCGTTCGGGAGGAAGGGAATGGGTGTCGCATTACGGCTCCCTGCAATATGCGCGCCAATCGCAGGCGCCGCCTGTGTCGGGCTTCCAAGAGGAGGAGCTGCGCAAGCTGCTGGGCGTGCTGGTGCGCCTCGAGGACAAGCGCCCGGGCGGGGCGGACGATGCCATCAAATTTAATTTCGGGGGCGTGCGGATTGATGGCGCTCTGCGCGATGCCCGGCCATCGGCGGGACATGCGGACCCGGAGGAGGACCCGACGGAGGGACTGCTGAGGCGACAGCGGGCGCTGGAGTGCAGGGCGCTGTTCGACGCGGTGGAGAAGTACAAGCGGGCGCTGAGCAGCGCACGGGAGAGGGAGATGCTGGCGGCGATGCCCACCGCGCGGCGGATGCTGGTCGAGTGGTTCGGCCCGCTGAGGGACAGCATCCGGGAGCAGCAGCAGCGGGTGAGCGGGGCGCGGGGCCTGGGGCAGGCCCGCGTGGGCGAGGGCGGCGGCTGCCTGATCGCTGCGGACTGCCGGGGTGCTGGCAGGCGCATTTCTTTCGTTTTTTCCTTTTGGCTGGGGGGACGAGGCTGGTGAATGGATGGATGGCATTTGGGAGTGGGCGTTGCTTGCGCCCGCCGAATTTTGCTGTCTTGGGGATTCGGGAGTTCTCGAAGTGGATGAGTGAGCTGGCGGGGCCCTTGGTGCGATGCCCGTCGCGTTTGAGGGGTCTGGATTGGGACGTCGGGACCGAGCCGCCAGTGGCTGGAATGGCTGCAAAGGCGCGGGCTGTGCGACTGCAATCAAGGGGTGATCAAGGTCTCTTCGAGCCCGGCCGACGTCGCGCTTGCCTGTGGCCAGCGGTACTCCCGTCGACATGTCGCATATTGCATTGGGAGACCTCGCATACTGTGGAGGGGCATGGGGCACTGTGTGGAACCCCTGCCGAGTACCATGCTGCAGTTTTCAAAGAGCTCACCTCTTGTCCATGCTGAACCATCATCCTGTGGTGTGGCACAGTACATTGATGCAAAGATCTACAACTATGGGACCAGTCAGCAGGCACCCATTTTTGTGCTCCTGCCGCCTGAGGAGCTGGCGGTGTTGACGATGCATTGTAAGAGCTGACACAAGGGCCCTGGTTTTCCCCTCACCTTTGAAACATGCACTGATTGCTTTGCGAAAGCACTGCTGGGCCGTTGCCCTTGCCATTGCCTGCAAGGTGGAGGGCTGCTGTGCCATTCTTGACAATGCAATAAGCAAAATGAGCACCAAGAACTGGCCATGCATCCCCAAAATGATATTGTTATGCTCTTGCCTGAGTCACTTTCCAGCCCTACTCGATGACCTTTGACTGTCAGCAATGCTTGATGCCTTGACATCTGTGCACTGTGCAGTCTGTTTTCTGTGGTCCTCTTGTTGCAGTTCTCCTTCAGAGTTGAAGATCCCATTGAATGTGGCAGACAATGATGCTGGAAACTTGCTCTTTGTAGTTCAAGGGTGGAGGTATCTCCAAAACCAAGTTGTGGGGCAGAGTTTGACAGAAATCTATGCTGTTCTTCCCTGCAGCACTTTTGAGCGCCATATTCAGAGGCGATGAAGCAGATGGTGGCAGTCAAATCAGCTTTGTCCGAGCAGCAAAGAAAGTCGCCAGAGTGAGTGGTCCCTTGTTCATCCATCTTGGAATATGTTGCTGGTATTGTCTGGACAGGCGATGGGACTGGACATGGCATTGTTCCCAGTAGCACAACGCACTACCTGGATCAAGAGTGCTTGGACAATTGGCAGCTGACATGCTATTAGGGTGCATCCAGACCTTTCCAAAACTTTCCTCCGATGGGCCTAAACCAGTGCAATGGAGAATTTCTGGCAGATTAATGCCACTGGACATTGTTGCATCACTTGTGCTCCCACAAGGAATCTATTCAAATTTCGCTCAGTGTGTGTGGGTTTGTGTGTAATTCCATTAATTACATGCACGTCGCAACAGTGCCAAAGCCTGTTCACCCAAGGGTATGTAGGCACTGAGTACCACAGCACGAGTGTGGGTTTGTGTGGAACGAAGTAGTATTTTTGGGGCAACATTGTTGATGGAATTGTGCATTTCATCGCCCTACAGGTGCATGGGCTCCAAGGTTTTGTCAAATTTTGGCAAAATGTAGTCAAATTGCATTGGAATTGTTAATGGGAATGGAATAAAAGCAGTGGCCCTACATTGGCAGCTGTGGTCAAGTGGATCAGCTTCTGCAGGATGAAGGTTTCATTTGTGCAGCCTAATGTGAGGCCTCAACAAACGCCCTGAAATCTCTTGCATAGAAGGCTCCAGCCACCGGTGAAAACAGTGTAACTTTGGCACTTGCTGATATGAACCACAAGGTTATCTTAAAGACGTAGCAGTCACCAAAAGAAAAGTGTCAAAAGATCCAGATACTGAGCACCGTCAAAGCAATACCTTAACCAGCACGTGCATCAACTATAATGGTGTGCTGTTTTGCTGGTGTATGGGAAAGCTGCACTACATAATCCGAAGCCACGATGCTTCAGCTGCTTTAAATGCTGTGCAGCCCATCGGCAGTGGACTGAGGGCTTTGATCTTCTGTTGCTGCAGTCTGTTCAGAGCCAGGTGACACTTCTGCACCTTAAAGCCAAAATTGGCATTGAGAACAAGAAGCGCAGGGTATTGAACAGGTTGAAAAAGCAAATCGATGAAGGAAAGGAGGAGACTGAAGTGATCGAATCCCATGGGCTTGATGATTGGGAGGTCGCTATGCTCAAGGTGAGCTCCTGGCACAATGATACGAGTTCATTATCGTCATCCTGCTGGACCTGCGGTCCTTTGGACACTCTATTCGCTAAAGATGCTAGGCTTGATTGCCTAGCGATTGCAAGTGTCAGCGTAGTCTTGACAATTTAGCCCCAAAGCAACAAGGACGGCCCTGTACCTGCAGATGATGATGGGTACAGGACTGTCCTGCCTATGTTTGTTCGATTATCCCAGTACAGTAGGGGTCCCTATATAGCGCCCCCCCAATAGCGCCCCCGGCCCCCAATAGCGCCCCCCCTTTTGGCCGCGTCACGGGGGGGGGGACGCTATATAGGGACTCCTACTGTACCTCGTTCCACACGCTACCCAGTTGCATGGTTGGAAGGAGCTTCAGAAAGCCAATGAGATTGTTGTAGAGAGTCGTTAACTACAAAGCACTACCAACAGAATGCATATTGGGTGCCTTCTGGAATTGTACCCCAGAAGGTTGTCTTCTGGAGTCGATCCTGAATTGATCCCAGTGCCAATTACCATTGGGCAAATGCTCCGAGCATACAAGGAACGTTGGCTTTGTTGTAAGCCAACCTCTGTTGTACGTTGCAGTTTGTGCATCTTGTTTTAGACCATGTGGGTGCCATCCCCATATTGGCAGGAAGATGCTCCTATTGCAGCTTGTCGCATAACAGCATTTGTTCTGTCTGGTTGGCCTTGTGTTGCCCATGCCAGTTGTTTACTTGCATTTTTTGTTGCCTTGAATTGTCAAGAACGCATGTTCTTTCCCGGGAACCCACTTGCAATACAAACACCTCTGCCCCAAGATCTCTGCAAACAACAATGCGTAAGCAGTGGGACGGCCAATGAGGACTTGTAGAGCATTATTGTGACTTTGCTATTGCCATGTTGGATGCTGACAGTGCAATCAATCATTGTGTTAGTCAGCTTTGTGTATTTCGCCCGCCTTTGTTCCTGTGTGCACCCTATAATCTTGCACCGCAATCAAGAGCCGAGGAGCTTGCCCCAACCTAATAGAAGAGATGTTGGCATTGTGCCACTTCACAACTGAGGACAGGGATACACAAAATGCAAGATATCCATTGCCTGATGATACTGACGTTGTGGCAGTGAATTCAATCAACATGTCAGCATCACCTCCAGAATCTAGCTTGTGGATCAGCCCAATGGCTCACAGCTGTGAAGCTCTATACCAAAGCTGAGCCCTTTTCAGCCACACTGCAGTGTCTTCAGCAACTGTTTTGGGTTTGTTATGGAAAGTTTTACTGATGAGACCATGATTATGTGAAAAGAATTTGTGCATTAACTGATTGCCCAACTGTACTTCCTTATTGCTGACGAGTTCGTTGTCTTATCCATGCTGCCAGTCTGCCTTGAAACTGCAGCAGAATCTGAGAATGGTGAGGAACCGTTGGAACCAGCCAGGGGTGACAATGCACGAAGTCAATAAGCATGCCTACAAGCTGCCAAGCGATGTGGCAAACTGGGATGAGCGTGTCATGTTGAAGGTGAGACACTGGCACAGCAAGAAGTGGAACAAACGCCACAGATTGGAAAGAAAATATGGGGAGAAGGGAGGCAGAACATTGAGCTGCCAGGGCACAGGCTTCACCTTGGGCCCAGATTAATTAGGACTTCTATTGCAATGCAAAAGCTGGTTATCTTTTTTGTCCCCTATACATCTTCCCTTGTATTTGGAAACAGCCCAGGTGTACCCTGTGTGTACCCCACAAATATCTGGGGTCACGTGATGCCATGTGGGGGATATCGCTGGGCGTGACGCCATAGGTTGAGGGGTTTGGGGAGTCCGCGTGATGGGGGAAGGCGTCGCACGACCAAATATAACCATAGTTGCACGCTGGTTTGTTGCTTTCTTGAATCTTGTGTTTCACAGCCGTGATTTTGCTGATAATTGTGTTGTCAAGTATGTTATCTGAGTTGCATTGTCTTTCTTGAACCAAGGAATGTGGGTTCCCAGTGGATGCCATCCATCACTGCAGAAGATCAAGTTTTTGACGTTTATCAACTGAAATGGACAACTATGATATTATAGAAAATGAATGGCAACCAAAACGAAGTTGTTGCTAAATATAGCGATGAAAATGATTGTCCGCTGATGGCAGGTGGGGGCGTCACTGATCGACATATTTCGGAAAGTGGCCACCATCAAGGTCCACAAGCCAACTAAAAGGGGTGGTTACAACAGCATGGAGCCAGCCATCACCCACGAAATCCAGTGGACGAGATATGCATACGGGCTTCGGTGTATTGGATTGCTTAAATGCCATCCCAAGTTAGTGGAATGGGTTGAGAGTGAAGACTTGGTGAGTGCAACTTGCAGCCCACATGACCTGTTGTCAGAATGTGCTCTTGGTGTGGCGACATCAGAAGAGGGAGTCCTAGGACCATACTATGACAATTCACAAAATTCGTTGACGATTGCTCAGTGATTTTGTGCAATATATTGGGAATCAGCCCTGCTAAACAGCACATTGTATTTGAAGTGATAGCTGCCTCTGTTACTCCCCGAACTTCAAGCACAAATGGGGTGACAGGCTTGCCAGCAGCGATTTGCTGGCCCCATGTTTTGGACTCCACATTTCCCTAGCATGGCTTGCACACTACCCAGCAAGAGACCCAGATGTTCCTCATTCTTTCCGTCTGCATGCCTGGCCCTGTGTCGAACCAAGAAGGAGCCATCCTGACAGACATTCTCGTTGGATTGTGTCAGCATCCAGCCATCGCGCTGGAGCGTGCGTCCCCAATGCTGGTTCCACCAAGACCGTGGAGGAGCTGTATGGACGGTGGCTACCTCACCATCAAGTCGTGCGTTATGAAGAACAAAGGGGAGAAGGAACAGATGGCAGTGCTGAAAAAAGCCGATGAGTACCTAGGGCAAAGCGGTGGCCCCAATGCAGTTTATGAAGCCCTCAATGTGCTGGGTAACACACCATGGTGAGTGGTTGCACTGCCTCAACGTGATGTTATGGAACTATGAGTCGTGGAATACAACGTGTAGAGATAGAAGTTGTACAGCGCCTTATTGCCACACTGAGAAAGACGGCACTCAGTATGAAACCAGTGCATATCCACTGCATGCATGTGCTCAGAAGGAGATTGCCCAGTGCTTGACTTTTGCTGGCAGACTGGTACAGTGGGATGCTGCTTGGGATCTTGTTGAACAATTTTGCTTGCTTAGATGCTGTAACACTGCTGATGCCCTTGTTGCTGCCACAGCAGGAATAGATGAAGTCCAGAAATTGCATTTCTGAATTGAATGCACGCGCTGATAGCGATGAACTTTCATGTAGGGCATAGTAAGTGGCCTATGTCAGTTGGTCATATTTGATGAGCCTCCGGTTGCTGGACTGTCAGTGCCATCGGTGACTGACCCTCAGGCATTGATGTGATGGTCTGTCTTGCTACCTATGCGCAACTGTATAACTATTTGCCCCCCAGAGTTGGTACATACCTGACTGACTGAACACGGTTTGATTATGTTCATGAAGATTAGCAAAAATAAATGTCGCAATCCCCAATCACCTTAGCAAAGGCGATGCAGTGGCCCCCAAGTTTCGGTGACAGTGAGTCTTGCTGACAGTTGTGCAAGAACTGCACTGGAGCACACAGCAGCAAATCTGCTTTAATGTCCTGGAATCGAATTTGTGCCCAGCAAAGGCCATCGCCCTTCTCCATTGCCACCCAGCTCATAAGTTGGCATGGCACTGACGTGTAGGTTTCTGTCCGCAGGCAGATCAACAAAGAGATGCTCAAGATTGTCGAGACCGTTTGGGCCAATGGCGGAGGCATGCTGGATTTGCCATCCAAGGAGAATCTCCCCATGCCTGTCTTGTTGCCGCCCCAGTATCGACTACTGGCTGCTGATGGAGCCCTGCATGCAAGGGTCAGTCCACAAATCAATGTTTGCTATGACTTCTCTGTTGTCTTTCATCGATGCAAGTGTGAATGTGCAAATTCCTTGTTCTTCCTGTGCTGGCCCGTAGGGGGTGCCAAATCGGTTTTCTACTATATGACACGAGTTTGTGGTAACTCAGCAGGCCACCGGCTCTTGAATGCTGTGGTATCCAAGCCTCTTCCCTTCATGCTGGTGCATGAGGCAATGTGGCCAATCGACTACTTGGCATCCAAGTTTTGGGGTGTTGATCAGAATCGCGCATCTGAAGATATTGTGATTTTGCTCAAATACTGAATATTTAAATATCCGGTCCATTGCAGCCATGTGGTGTCCTAGTCAACGGGGCTGCCTTCTGTTGGCAACAAGATTCACATAACTGCTCTTGCTCTCCAATCGCCAGTTAAGGGGCCTGGTGAGTGCATTGTGGGCAGGTACTGATGCTGACAGTTTGGGTTCACTCTGTTCCTGTTTTGACAATGCCTTGTTTTCTGATGCAGTATGCATACGAGTCCCGTGCTGAGACTTACAACAGGAAGCTGGCGGTGAAGCGCATCCGCAAAAGAAACCGTGAGCTCCACTCTATGCGATGCGACTTGAATCTCAAACTATCAGTTGCCAAGGAATTCCAGGATGAGGAAGCAATATACTTTCCACACAGCATTGATTTCAGGTGTGTGTTGCTGCACCACAGCTGTGTCCATTGTTGTGTTTGGCTTTGGTTTCTTTCCATCATGAGTTTGTGTGGTAGCATTTGAAAGTGTCGCCGCTTTATGTGTTCTGTTGTGGATAGCACATTTGATTTACTTGCAGAGGTTTGCTATGATAGTTGCCTATTGTGAATGATCGTAAGGGCCCTGCCATTCTGGTCTTTGTGCACAGGGAGACGTGCCACACTGCTGCTTAGTTTGTTGCCATTTGCTCAATTGCGTTGTGATAAGGATGCAGCGAACAAAATGGGACAGCAGCATTTGTTTGGATGGCATTGCATCGTTTCTGTGCAGCAAGCGGGAATTAGTTTGTCAGTTGATGCCCAGACAGTCAAGAGCTACTTTGAGTGGCCCAGGCTACTGCTTGATCTGAAGTTTTTTTTTTTTTTTAAATTTAAGCCACATGGTGTTGCTGTTCGGTGCAGGGGTCGAGCTTACCCTATTCCACCACACCTCAACCACCTTGGTTCAGATGTGTGCCGCAGCTTGCTGCAGTTTGCAGTAGGCCGCCCATTGGGCCCTTCAGGCTTGGACTGGTTGCTAATTCAAGTTGCCAACTTGTACGGGCAAGGTGCAGACAAATTGCCACTGCACGGTCGCCGAAAATTTGGGGAGGAGCACCTGGAGATGATAATAGACTCTGCCGAAAACCCTTTGGATGGCATGCAGTGGTGGATGCAGGGCAGCGAGCCCTGGCAGCTCCTAGCAACCTGCAAAGACGTGAGGAATGCCTACGCATCTGGTAATCCAGAAACATATTGCAGCAAGATGCATGTGCATCAGGTGAGCAGTCTTGCGACTCGGACGTGAGATCAATCCAGGAAGTCAGTGGGCAAGCCATGGATGAAATCAAGAGTGGGCAGAGAGCAGTGGCAAGACCTGTGTAATCTCAAGGCATAGAAAAAACTGTGTTGATATTCAGCTGATGAATATGTAGCCGCTGTCGAATGCTCAGGTCTTTCTTGTGTGCTATTGTCTGGAGGGCATAGACCACTGTGACTTTCTTTGTTATAATGTATTGCAGACCTGCCCTACTCACATTGTCATATGTGATGCGGCCAGTCCCTGTCCGATCTTTCCGCTTTGTAGTCAGTGCCTCGTAACATTTCATTGGGATTGTCGATGCCTCATCAGCAAGCTCGTCAACTCCACCCTCGTATCCTGGGATATTGATGTTGCCTTTGTTGTGCAGGATGGCTCATGCAATGGTCTGCAACATTATGCCGCTCTTGGCCGTGATGAAAAGGGAGGCACTGCCGTAAATCTTGTCCCAGCGGATGCCCCGCAGGATCCCTATACCCAGATCTCGCACATTGTCCAAAAGCGCGTTGTCTCGGACGTCGCTAAGGGCCTGTGGCCTGCACAGAGCTTGCAAGGCCAGGTTGACAGGAAGTTGGTGAAGCAGACGGTCATGACATCAGTGTATGGGGTGACGTTCGTTGGTGCTCGGGATCAGATCGCCAACCGCTTGCAGGAGCGTGGGTAGGTGCAGGAAGAAAAAGAACTGCCGCATCTACCATCGGCCGGTGGCCAAGGTTTTCATGCAGATGCAGTCTTGCCCATTTCCTTCAGCTAAGCACAGCACAGCGATGTGGGTCAAGTGATGCATGTGTGGCTGTGACTGTATGGGCAGCAGCGATGTGTGCGTTGGCTTCATCATGCCAAGCAGTTGATTGTCCAGTCTTGTTGCTGCCTCCCCACTCTTTTTCGTGGTTAATGCACCACAATCCAGTACCAGAACTGCCAAAATGGCTTGAGTGGGGTTGAAGACTGGGGTAGTAGCATGTTGTCCTTGATCGCTGCACCTGGGTATGCTTTTCATCCTGCCCCCTTGCTGGTCACTTGCTCTACACTTGCATAACTGCAGTGTTGAAGGTGCAAGGGCGTTTCATTTCTTGGTGTTGGTATATGTTGTCAAAGATACTGCCTTTGCCCATTGGTGCCACCCAAAGTCGTTGATGGCTTGCCACGCCTTCTGCCATGGTGGTCGTGTGGCACTGGTCTGTATTTCCATCGGCTGTCACACACTGTCAGCACCAGGTCTTGTGGTTGTGGGCACAATTTCTGCAACAGCAGACCTGCAGGCACCGCCTTGCAACTTTTTATGTGGAGAAGATCAGGCACCTTGAAGCATCATGCGCAATTGCTTTTTGCAGGTGGGATGATGAGCACACCGTATTTCGCACCTCCTCCTATGCTGCAACAGTCACGCTGGACGGCTTGAACCAGATGTTCAAGAGCGCAAAGGAGATCATGAGGTGGTTGGGACAGTGCGCCAGTCTTATCGCTGACCGCAACAAAACTGTCATGTGGCGCACCCCTCTGGGTCTACCAGCCACTCAGCCTTACAAGAGAGAGGTGTGTGTGTGTTGCTGTTTGTTAACTGGGGTACGAGTGGGTTTATCTTTATTGGTCTTGGTCCATGGCCCTTGGTTACGAATAGCAAAACGTGTCCTAGGGGACAGAAAACCCCATCCACTTTGAATGAGAACGTCTGTGAAAATCGCTCATGGACAGCACAAGAAAGTGCAAAAGTTTCTGAGCGCAGCAGTTGCACTGGGCAGAGAAGCATGAATATCAAGATGCCCATGGTGCTGCGGTGAGAATTCCACGTGCATGTGCGCAATATCGTATCATCCCTGCGCAGACAATGTGGCGTTGATGTTAGCGGTTTCACTGGTAGTTTCCTGCCGTGATAGCTGAGCATGTATGGGGCTCGTGCCATCCATGGCAGCAATACTGCTGTTTTGATGGACATGCGGCATTTGACTCACTGTTTTCACTGTTTTCAGGGGCATGGCCCTGCATATGATCATTCCTCCTTGAACGGTGTCAGTTTCATTTAGCCCGCTGCACCGTCTGCCCTTGTGGCCCACTGAACCGCCTGGCCCAGAGGCATTCCTTCCCTTGCGCAAACTTGCGTTTTTTATGTCCCAAGAGGTCAAGCTGACGTGACGCTGACGAATATCACCTGTTCTGATGGCACAGGGCTCGACCTGTGTTCGAACTGTTCTGCAGCAGTTGCGGTTGAGCGTTCCGCTGGGGGTGAGCGCCCCCGTGCAGAAGAGGCGTCAGAAGACGGCTTTCCCACCAAACTACATCCATTCGCTGGATTCAACACACATGATGATGACGGCACTCGGGTGCCATGAGGCAGGGATCGAGTTCGCAGGCGTCCACGACTCGTTCTGGACGCATGCTGGGACGGTGGACTCCATGAATGCTATATTAAGGTGAATGCAATGCCCCCTGCCGCTACCGTTCGGCGTTGGTGCCCCCGTTGCATGAAACTCTACAGCATCCGGCCTAACACGTTCCGTCGTGTAGATGCGGTAGCACTGCCTCGTCAGCGGTGGCGATCAATCTCAAGGCTCGTGTCAGAAAACAATGAGCCCAGCGATTGTTCACCGAGGCGCCTGTTACATGCCAGCGCCAGAGATATCCTTGCAACTCTGCCAACCGATTGATGGCCAGCTCACACCAGCTTTGCGGAACGCATTGGCAAAGGCTGCCCGCCATGCCCTTGAGAGTGCAGGGGCAGTGAATTTGTGAATCTGGACAGGCGCAGCCCTGGCGGAATTGGCACACTGGCAAAGGCACGGCAATCCTGACAGGTCCTCAAAGCCGCTGCGCTGACGGCATGCCTGCAGCCATGCCCGGAGGAGCCAATATTAACTGAGTGCGGCGTAGCTTGCCAATACATGATCGCTGCCTGGCTCCGCGTCAGGCCTGCTTGATGTGGGCTGTCTGCGTGCCTTGTTTTGCAGGGAGAAGTTCACCGAACTGCACAGCAAGCCGCTTCTTCAGATGCTACGAGACGACTTGCAAAGGCAGCACCCGGGTGTCGACTTCCCCCCCGTGCCGCCCCAGGGGAACTTGGACCTTGATGCCATTCAGAAATCGGTCTATTTTTTCAGTTAGGGCTCTTCTGCGGCGCAGCGCTTGTGTGCGCACTAGAGGTTTGGCTTCATTAATTTATTTCATTCGTTAGGTAGGTAGGGCGCCGGCCAAGCGGCGCGGCTGGAAGTGCCAAACGCACGACGGCCAGGCACGAGTGAAGACACCAGGGGGGTCGAAACGTACTGACTATTAGGACGGGGCGCTTTCGATTCCTGCAGGAGACGCATTGGGGCCTTGGCGTGGCTACTCAACGCACCCAAGCTTGGCACCGATCAACAGGGGAAGTCTTTTGGGTCTAAAAATTTGTAGGAGTGCCTGTGTCGATGCGATTGTGTGGGGTGGGGCAGCTGCGCAGCGAGGCCGGGTCTTGTTGCAGGGGAGAAACAGTGTGTCGCCCAGGATGGCGTTTGGTAGCTTGGGCTGTAGCGAGAGTGAGAGCTGGCGTGCCTTCAGAACCATACAGGCCCGTCGGATTTAATTGCCAATTTCATTGATGTTGGGCATGCTCCAGACCTGCATCCCACATCCGTTCTTCTCTGGCCTCTTCTCGGAGAAGGGCTTCCATAGTTGGAGCAAGTCTTCACCATGAAGGCGGGAGGGTCTTCTCGCCCAGTCGTTGCCATCGCGTACACGTAACCCAGGCAGTGGCGTGGGCTCGCATGTTGAAGGTCCGCACAAGGAGGCAGCCACGCTGCTGCAACCAGGAGTCGCGTGGAATTGTTCCGCTGATCCGAAAATTGTGCAAGTGATGCTGGCCCTTCTGCTGCACATGCATCGACTTGTGCCCCCATATCCAGCGCCCACAGTCCCCGGTCCAGGAGCTTCAGCTCCCACCAAACAGACGCAGGCACCCTGTGATAGGACAGCATTGCGCGTCACATGCACTCAGGAGAGCCCTATTTTACATAATGCGAGGAACAGTGCGACCCCAGTCCTCCGTGGGGCGCCCAGCTGTCTGGAGGCCAATCCCTTTCGATTTTGGAGACAAGCCCTGAAGGACGGCCAAAGAACAGGGCCCGGCTGGCCCGTGCCAAACCCCATCCAAAGAATGCTCCCACCAAGGGCTGGCCCCGCTGCACTGAGCACCCACAAATCCCTTCACAATCCCACCGCCGCCCACAATCCTAAAGATCACTCTCTTTGCAACACACCACGGACCCAAGAATACAAGGAGGCCCGGGGACCAATGGCTGGAGTTGTCCAGCGCGGCCTTCGCACATCAGCATACAACATACAACACCCCCTCTGTCGAATCTTCTCCCCCTAACGTCGCTCCTGCCCTGCGACTAAAATTGCCACGCGCTCACAAAAACCTGCCACGCGCTCACAAAACCCGTAGAAATTATCCTCACATTGCAAAGCAGTACGACATCAGATCTCGAGGCCAATAGAACGGGGTGGAATCCGTCGGGGAGACACAAAGCGCATTCGCAAACAGTGCGCACCTCCCACGATGGGTGGAAAGATTGGCAGTCGAAATCGATGCGGGTTTCCTTGGCCAAGGATGAGACGCCTCAGCGCAACGCATCAAACGTCATCCGGAGGCCCCAACGTTGGTGCATTGTACGTCCAGTCCATCTCACTGCGAACCTGTGTCAACAATGGCCCATGCAGTCACAGGCAGATCTCGGGTTTGGGCTTGGTATCTGCAAGCGCGCGGGCATCCTTTCTGAACAAATGTCCAGTAAGCTCTGCTCCTGACATGAAGTCGAGAAGACCATGAACGTCATGACGTCATGTTGTCATGAAGTCATGAGCACATGAAAGTATGAACGTCTTGGTCATGTTCGGGTTCAGCTTGTCAGGTTTCTAGGTCTTTTGCTCCCTGGTACCGTTCATGAACTGCACCACCCCTCCACTACTATCCTGTCAGGATATGGTAGGTATCGGGCAATCCTCCCTTTCTGCTAACGCACGTCACTGTGTGCCTTGCATGCACACCTTGTAGCACAGTCAGGCATGAAAAAACGAGAGCCTAACACCCGAGACTTCTGCAGCTGTCGTTACCACGAACGTGGATCTGCTGCAAGGAGGCATGTTGACACCCTTAACAGTAGTCTTTTGGAGTCGTCAACATTGCTGGTTGTGGCGCAGCTGGATCGCGCAAGCTTGGTTGGGTAGGCGCTGAACATGAGGCGCGTTGTTGGATTGGCAGCCACATTGGACGGCAGGGCACGAATGGGTGAAAGACCAAGTATGTCCTTGGTCACAGTTTCAACAATCCCTCACGACTTCACAGGTTCACACTGGCTGGGCAACTGGAGGGCTTGCATCGACTGTCAAGTACCAACATCGGCTGCAAGTTGGCACACAAATCAACCCAGGGCCAACTCACCTCCAATGTCCGCAGATTGTATCCAACGACCATAAGCCAATACAGCAACCTGGCGAGCTCAATAGCTGTGCTGTCACAGGAGGTCGTCCGCAGTTCTGTGTTGTCGCTGGTACCCATCAGCCTCTGGATAAATATGTTCATAGCCAAGAGGACCTCCTCGCCAGCACCCTCAACGCCAAGGGACTGCAACATTCAAGAACTTGAGAACTGGGCCAAACATTATGAACCAAGCACACAAGAGCTTGGATGTTGCCGCGTCCACCACCGCCTTTCAGATCTAATGGCTTCAAGTGCAACGTCTTTTTCACAAATGGAAACATCGAAAGAAAGAGCTCACACATGACCCATTTGGCTTCTTGGCTCTACACTTGTGTCTGTGTGGACAATTATATCAAATGATGGGTGATATATGAGTCAAAAACAGATGGTGCCAGTCTCGCTATCCCTGCTGCTCGGGTCGACACCAGAAAAGAAACATAAAGAAGTCAGATGTTTTGCTGTTGGTGTTTTAGGAAGACCCTGACGACCACGTGTTGAACAAGGCTATGCCTCTATGACGTTCACATCCGCCAACACTGCACCATTTCAGCCAACACCAGTTCAATCACGCCACTACAGAATTCAAGCACAGGAGGACAGGTCACACAGCGCCACAAGACATCAATGCAGACCCCATTCACCTTCAGTGCTGGGCCATCTAAGCCTTTGATATACTCCAGGAGATCGTTTGCACCAATTTCTGTCCGCTGCTGTTCCACCTGTCCCCGCAGCATCTTGATCTCCTCCTCAAGTTGCTCCATGTATTGCACTGCAGACATAGTCTCAGGACCAGTTTCCTTGTTCCAACGCACCACGTCGCCCTGGTGGAAGGACACACAATTCAAAACCATAAAAGAGCAGCTGATGGAGCAGAAGATTTCCAACCTGCTGTTGCACAGCACCTATCTCAGGTGCATTCAAATGTGCTTGCTGCAGCATCACCCTGCAGTCACAACCATGGTCACCAAATCTTGTGTGGCAAAAGGTGGATGGGGACACAACATCCCACTGTGCACTTTAACTACTTGGAACCAGATCAAATGCAAACTCTAAGTTAGCCAGATATTCAAAAGCCCAGACTGCACCTGCAAAGCGATGTCAGGCAGAGTCCGCGTGCTGATTGTCCAAACACAATCGCCAAACCTTAGGGCCACATTTCAATCCCTTACAAACTCCTGGAAGTCATGTCCTCTCCTAAAGTTTAAGGAACACATTATGGTACATGGGGAAGTAGCAGAACATCGCAAACCCTGATCAAGTGAATCCATGGTATGAACAAGATACTATTTCCATATCCTGAGTGGCAGTACTTACTGAGCACGAGATGGCACAGGATCATAAGGCAGTCACTGAAGCAAGGGCGATATCTGTTTTCCTTGGACAAGGCAATCAGATCTTACAATGGAACACCCCAGCAAGGCATCTCAGTCAGCATGATATTTTGCAATATTTCTTTCCACAACGTCCCAGCATAAAGGAACTACTGTGGTATCCACAGGTTTGGAATGCACAGCAACGCAGTGCCCAGTACAAAATGGCAACACACATGTCTCCAGCACTGACACCACCTGCACTTTGGTCTTCTGGGCTGTGGAAGCATAAGGCCCCTCGGATGCCATATCAAAGTCCTCATCGCCTGATGGCAGCAGCCCCAAGCTGCGATGCAGCTCCAGGCGGTATTGTGCATTCCGGAACATGTAGCCAGTCAAGATGACTGTGTACATAAGTTGTGAAATATTTTCTCCCATCTTGCAATACAAAGAAAGTCACAATTAAGCCAATTCGAATGTGTCAAGTACTTGTGAAAACAAGCCTGTTCCTAATGTTTCGAAATACCTTACTTTCAGCAGGAAGAAACTGTTCAAAGCAACTTTTACAATGCAGCTGCACAGGCGATGCAGGATCACAGAACAGTCGCAGCAGCCCTTTCTTCTACAAAAGGGCACCACTCTTCATTCCATGCACATCCAAATTGCATCAGCAGCTGGGAATGAGAGTTTACTAGCCACCCTACACACAAGAACACATGCAGGGGGGAAGATGCCGATGCAGAGGAAAGACCCTGCAACTGCACCACTGCGCAACACAACCCCAATGGTAAGAGGCATTGTGGAACACATCTACAGCAGGATGACAGGAAGCGGCACATGCATTGAGTTTCGATCCTTTGACCCCAGCTCACCGTTGATATTCTGACGTCAAAAAACTGGGGAGGCAGTGACCCCAGCATGTTGGTCAGTGTGTGCTGCATGGCCTCAATAACCTGCCGGAAACCACACAACATGCCTTATCAAAACGCCCCAACACTGCCCTCCACTGTAGACAGCCCTCTCCTGACGAGCTCCAGCCAATTAGCCAACAGTCATTTCACTGACCAACATTGTCGCCGTCTTATATCGCTGTCGCCCAGAAGATGTCTGAAGCAAAGCACTACACATGGAGCAGCAGGCATGGAAAATGACCCCCAGGGCTTGTGGCCCTGGAGCTACCCCCAGGTGTACCAACCTGGTTAGATTGGTGTATCAACCTGTCATCATTTGCAAGGTGCCAGGGGCCTGCTTTGTCTTGTGAAGGCAAATGCAATGCAGGAATCTGAGCCATAGCCTGGAGATCGGCAGCACCAAACCAAGCTCCCAACTCCAACGTCAGACGGAGGTTCAACAACGAGCCATGCCGCCACCCGCGTAAAGGCTCACCTGCGTGGGCGCCGCCAGCATGAACTCCTCCATCACCTGCGGCTCCACCTCCCTCACGTACCTCAGCAGCAGCTCCCGGCGGTCATCCCCCTCTTTCTGTGGCCGTCGGCAAAAGCAGAACAATAAACGGATGCCGCAAGAAAACAACAGAAAAACGGCCACGTGGCACACGCGACGGGAGCGAGGGGATCGGGGCCCTTCGGACACCCGACGGCGCCCAGAACACACCCTGTTGCGGAAGATTGAGCAAGTGCCTCCTGATTTTTGCGATAGTGGCAGCTCACAGTACAGTGCAGCGCGAAACAGCGAGCAAATATGCAGCAGAGGGACGTGGCTGCAGAATGCAGAGAACAGAATGCAGCGGACGCAATCCAGAGACGCTGATCTCCATGAAAATTGGTGCCTGAGTTTTAGAACATGCAAGCCACCCCGCACCAGTTCATCACCCCCACAACTGTCCACGCACCGTCTCTCCCTGTGAATCCCTCCCTGGGTTCTGTGCGCTGACGTGCGCCGCGCACACCGCCAGCCCACGGCGGCCCGCCAATCCCGGCCCCCCCCGGCGACGAGCGATCGCCGGCCTGTGCAGCATCTGCCGCCGCAGCAGCGCGACCGGCAGGAAATCGGGGCGCAGCGCCCAGGCGCGCCGCCGACAGGGATCCAGGCCGCTGCGGGCCGCAGGGCCGTCCGAAGTGCCGGCGACCACGCCGGCGATGTGGGGCATGGCTGGCCGGTTGGGCAGGGTGCGTGGAGGAAAAAACGGGCGGGTGGGATCCCGGAGGGCTGGGACGGATGGGTTGGCCCGGGATGGCAGGGGAGAGGGCACAGGGAGGGGGAAGGGGGGGGGGGAGGAGGGTGCAGGCGGTGGAAAGGTGGGCCCCGGGGTGGTGTCGCGGGGTTGGGGTGTCGGGAAGAGTGGGGCTCGGAGGGCCCCCTCCGCTCGGGGGGTGCCCCGCGCTTTGCGGAGGGCTTTGTCAGCACTGACCGACGAGCCCCGAGCGAAGGCCGGAAAATGGGCTGAAAGCGGAGCGCGCCGCATTCCGACCTCTTTCTGGGGTGTGTGGCGTTTCCTGAATGGATGGGAACTTGGAGGTTGATGGCACTTTGCGCGTCGCGCGGCGCACATCGTGGCTTGGGGATCGGTGCTTCGCTGCGCACGGAACGTCGCACGTTGCTTTGACGTCTGGGACCCTGCGGCCAGAAAGATCGGGTGCCGAAAGCCAAAAGGGCAACCCGAACTGAACCGTGCGCACAACTCACCCCGTCCCCAACCAATTCGGGCGCGGCCAGGCGCCACGTGCCCTGGCGGACTTCAATCCGTCAATCAATCAATTGATTGCAATCTTGCGGATCAATAATTAGTCGATTTTGCGAGAGGATGCGCACCGCATCCGTGTGCCCACGCCAAGCCGCGCCTTGACCCGTCCGTCGTCGCGAGGCCCGGCAGTTCGAATCCCTAGGCGTCCTTGCCGGGACCGCTCAGTCCACCGTCCGCCTCCGGCGCCGTCAAACAACCCTCCGACGGTGGTTCGCTTCCAGCGGGCTGGTCGCGAGGCGGTCGCGAGGCGGCTGAACCATGGGCTGGGCTCGCGAGTCGATCTTCCAGGACCTGCTGGAGCACAACTCGCGCAAGCTCAGCAAGGACGGCCTGGACACGCTGGCGAACATCGCCGTCGTGGATGAATTCGAGGTGAAGCGAGAAGCACGCACGCGGAGGCGTGTGGGGGGGGTTTGGGGGGAATGCTGAAGCCCAGATCGTGGCGAAGGCCGACCAGCGTGGATTGCACCGCCCCACACTCGTTCGTCGCGGCGGAATTGAGCAACGGCCTTGAGCGCCGCGCGTCGCTGCTGCTCGAAGATCTTACAGTTGGTGTATTCACCTGAGGGACCAGCATTTCCGACAAGGGGAGAGGGGGGGATGACGTGGTTCAGTTGGACCTGCGACTTAGCCGGCTGGGCCGGCCGTTGCTGGCCCCCGGTCGCCGTGAGATTCGGCGGGTCGAGAGGTTTCTTAGGCCGCCCGTGCGTGGGGTGGTGCAGTGCTACAAGCACGTGGCGGCGCTGCTCGAGCGGCAGATGAGGAAGGGAAAGGACAAGCAGCGCATCAACGTCCTGCACGTCCTGTCCCACATACTGAGGCGCTCCAGCAAGAAGCACGGGCAGAAGGACAAATACGGTGGGCCTCTGGCGGGTTGTGTTGTTTCGGTGGCGCTGATCATCTCTTGGAACTTCGCATGTTGCGACCTTCTGTATTGCACGTTCGGTCACTGTTGCGATAAGGTACTTCCTCAGTGTGGAATTGGACCGCACAAGCTTGTGAGGTGCCTGTGAGGAAACTCCTTGAGAAGCTTGCTCAGGGAGGGGTGCCCATCCTACGACATGCTTCTTTTCTAAGACATGCCGCCTCTTTATGGACAAGGGTGCGATTCAACGAGAATGCTGCCCCAGAGCTCTCGGAACATCGACTGTGCAGCAACCACTGGAAATAGAGGGGAGGGGGAGGATATGGATGTATTCCACTCACTTTCCGGACTCACTTGGCTTGGGTTGCTGGTGACTGACACGCTATTTCGCATCGACTGGCAGCGAAGAGACTGGAGGGCAGGTTAATGGAGATAGGCAAGCTCTTGGGGGAGTGCCCTGCGGAGCAGAGGGTGAGTCATGCGGGGCGCCGCTGCCATGGAACACGTGCAGTGTGCGAGTCTTGCTTCTTGTCTTCTCTCTCAGTTTGGACCCAGCACAGCTCGATGTCGATGGCAGGCAGACGATTGGACAACTTCCCATGCTGACTTTAGGCCATGATTCGACTTGGCGATGCTGCTTGTGTGCATTCCTTTCAGCTACAGCTCCAACATGTACGCAGATCTCTTTGGAAATTTGACAGGCAATACTTGCGACTTCAGGACAACAAGCTATAAGCATTTCCCATGGCCAATGTACTTGAAATTGACCATGATAATGATTTGGTAGTCTCAAGATTCGCTGTGAAAACGCAACCAAAAGAAGCAATGCGAAGAAAACAAAGCCCAGCAGGATAAGATGTACTGCGCTGGTAAGCCCTGACATGAAACTCTGCATTCCACTGCACTGGCAAGTTGATTTTTCACCCCTGACCTGAACCAAGCCTGTATGACGTGCAGGACAAGGTTCAGAAGGTTGTGGAAGCCTGGAGGAGGGAAAAGATCTTTTCCAAAGCAACCCTTGATGCCCTGGGCCAGGTGCTGCGGCAGTCGATAAGCACTGCCAAGACAGCCCGACCTGTTGCCGTCAAGAGGCCCCCACACACCAAGTCAATGGCAGATGCCAAAACCCCTCATCAAAGGGCTGAGAAGCCTCCACCATCTCCAGGCTCCTCTGCTGTGGAATCCACTGCAGCACCAGCAGGTGATGGCAATGAGATGTACGATCCGTATAGGGATGCTGCAACAGGCGCCGCGGGGACCCTCCCAGTCTCAATACCTCCTGTGCCCGTGCCACCGCCAGCGGCCCCTCCACCTGCCCCAGCTTCACACCGGCCACAAGTCCTTGTGACAGCCCCCAGTGTGCCACCTGCTCCCATCGTCCTGGCCCCACCACAGATGTGTTACGGCGGTGAGAACCCCTACAACTATAGCCAGTACTACCCAGCCGCCCCCTCTCTGCCCCCCATGCACCATGCAGCCCCTGTTCCACCTCCTTCCCACATCTCTGTCCCTCCGCACCTCCTGAACCCTCCCCGCCCTGCCCCGCTGCCCCCCCCCCAACCCCCTCCGCCTCCCGCCCCTCCTGCGCTCCCACCGGGCATGGGTCCGCGGGAACCGCATGGCTTCAAACCCCCACCCCCCCAGCCGCCTCAACTGCCACCCCCGCCGCCTCACAAAGACCTCCCACCCGGCTTGGGCCCCTTGCCCAGCAGCCTCGGGACAAAGACGGCTGCGCCTGTGCGCAAGGCGGTGGCCAGCTCGTCAGCCAGCATGGCGAGGAAGAGGAGCGAGGAGGCCAGCAAGCTTGAGGACGTTGCACCTACATCCAAGAGGCCCCGCTCATCGAGGTGGGGACCGCCGTCCTGCTCCCAGAGCACGGGTTCAAAGGCTGGCCGTCAGGGGCTGGATGCCAAGGAATGCACGGGAGGGGCGGCCTTGAGGGGCAGCCAGCAGCGTGCAGACTCCAGCAGCGGCCCTCAGGGCGCTAACCTGGGAAAGGGCCAGCTGGGCGCTGGCACAGGCGATGGGCTTCAGAGGCCAGCAGTGAAGTGTGATGTCAATGCGCTGATTGAGAAAGCCAGGGGGCTGGCTGCAGCTATGGTTAGACAGGAGCAAGGTGTATATGAGGTTGCGGACTCAAATGTGCACATGGGTCCCACTGCCAAGCACCCCAGCCCAGGAGGTGCGAGCCAGAGGCCCGTTGCGCAACCTGCAGCGGATGACAAGGTGGATGATGGTGGTAGTGCGGACATGTCTTTGGGACAGTCTGGCGAGGTGGCCACCGAGGCAGCTGTGTGCACCGAGCCCAATGGACCAGAGCGTGGCGCTGAGGAAGTGACAAGCACGCTGAAGGTGTTCAAGGGTGAGAGCGATGGCGGCAAAGAGGCGGCTGGGAAGGCAGGCGCACCTGCAGGGGACTTGGGCACCATCCTTGGACCTGCCCCACCCATGCCCCCTTCCTCCCTTCCAGCACCGCCACTACCACTTCCCCCACCACCTTCGTCTCTTGCACCGCAGGCTTCATGCAGCGACGAATTTGAGGGGGGGGAAGCGGTCGGGGGCTCTGGGCAGGACAGCCAGTCTTCGTCGCCTCAAGGCACTCATCCCCTGCGGTCAGAGGCAGGAACAGAGAAGGGGACGTCCTCAGCCAAAGGGCTGGCCTTCCAGCCATGATGCGGTTCGGAGGCGCAGGATGCAGTGGTGGGAGGCGGGAAGGGAAATGCAGCATCTGTTGGGGCTGTCCGACGGCAGGGTCCTGACCAGATGCAGTGGAGCCGGCAAGAGGTGGGCATGCCAAAGTGGATCGTGTGGCGTGCTCTGTTCTGTTGGAATCTGTCTATGTGCCTGCTCGCCAGCCTAGCACGCAGCACTCGTCTTTTGGAATGCCCTCCTCATGCTCGAAGGCTTTTGTGAGTTATTTGTTGATGACCGCCCTCCCGCCCCCCCCCCATGTAGCTAGGAATCACTTATATTGTTTTGCAGGCTTGTTGTAAATTTTTTCATGACGTCTGAGCCTTGTCAGCCGATGATTGTGGCTGAGGATGGCTGCGTTGGCCCTGGTCATGCTGCCCACATTCCGGTCCTCAGGAGCCCGGCCGGCGCTGGACGCGTGGTCGCACCTTGCGGCAGATCTTTTTGCGATGCTGGCTGGGGAGTGAGTAGGAGCGCACCACTGGAGAAGACTGAACTGGTCGCTGACCGGGATACAGGCCTTTTGCATGTCGTCAGTGGTACACCACACAGCATTGGCTGCCCTGCGACCCTTTTCCCTCTCCCCTTCAACACCACCACAACACTGTTCAAGTGATGCTGTCTCTAACTTGGGGTTGTTGGCGCACCCCAGCACAGTTTCTTCGTTCCATTCTTCATGTGGTTTCAGGTGACAACACTGGTGGCCTTCATGGGCTGGTTGCAGTTCGTGGACCAACTTCAAGCTGTCGCTGCCTCGGGCTAGATATTGCCCAAGTTGGGAATATTCGGGCCTGCAGCAGAGACACAATGTTCGACGGCGTTGATGCCCCGTGCCAAGTGCTTGACAACAGTTCCCCCTTCGCTTCATGCATACATAGATCTCATTCGCTCAAAACCCGTGACTTCAGTCTTAAATGCCACCTTGCCAGGGGCAGACGCCTGGTGTAGTCTCTGTTCCCAGACACAATCCTATACAATGTTTCCATGCGCTCTGTGGCTCGCTCGCTTCCCAAGCCCACCAAAGAGCGCTCTATTATATCCATAGTCTCTCCCAACGCCCCCGGCGACACCCACAAGAGGCACCGGCACAATACCTCAAACAGTCTCTCTCCATCCTCCCAGTCCCCTTCACTGGCGGGCACGGAGATGCCAGTAGACCTGGGGCCATTGGATTGCTGCACCTCTGCTTCCTCTGCACTCCCTTTCGGCTGATCCACAGCGAGCGCCTGAGCAGCGGACGAGATGCAGCTGATACACTGCCCAGCCACCGAGCTGCCCTTGGGCAGTTTGTTCAGAATCGACGCCACACAGAGCGAAAACGGCTCCCAATGCAGCAGGCGTAGCGAGTCCATACACCTGTGGACGTAGAATGGGGCCAGGTCCTCCACGAGGTAAGGGACCCCGCAGCTGGACGCCGCTTCCACTAGAGCCCTGAAGAAGGTGTGGGCTGAAGTGCGGGCACTGGCGTCTTGGTGGTGGAGATAAAGGAACGCATACGGGGCCAGGAACTCGATGCATGCTGCACCACGCTGACTGGCACTGTCAACAGAGGGTGATGCAAGGCGTCTGTGCTCTGGAGGAATGGTGACGAACGCGTGCAGCGCAGCTGGTAAAACCCGCATGAGAAACACCATACGGCTAGCCAGCAGCTGGTCAGAATTCCACACGCCTGGTGTCCCTTCCCCTTGTATTGGCGCCACCAGGGAGACATAATCTGGAAGGAGTGCCAGCGTTGATGTGGCGGCGTCAGGAGATGCTGCTGCACAGGCGATCGCCTTCTGCACCAGCAGTGCATATTCTGAGCTGGCAGTGCGGCAGAACTGCAGATGGGCCAGGAGGTCCAGAGACACCAGCGCCTTCGCAGAGGCTAGCTTCACTGTGCCAGGAACCTGGAGTTGGGCACGATCAGGCCGATGGGTTCCATGGTCAGCTAAGATGGCATGGGCACTCGCTTCCAAAGCTGACCTGCCAGTAACTGCCGACAATGGCACTGTGCCATCATTCAAAGGGGGAGATTGTGGCAAATGCCCTGCTTCCTGTTCCCCGAGGTCTGTGTTTTGCAGTGCTTCCAACATGATGCTGACACAACAGTGGAACATCCTGCTCAATATCCTACCCACCATCTGGCCGTTCACTTCCTGCATCCACCCCTCGTCCGTACCCAAAAGGTAGGCGCTATACTCTCTGTGAAGCCTTGTGGCACAGTCCCGAAACCTCTGCATAGCAGCAAAGGCCTCCATCCCCGGGGCTGCCCCACCAAGCGCAGCAGTCATGCGTGTCAGTGTCCACGTCTCTGCCTCAAGGGCACCTTGAGCATGGGCCATTAGCCAGGCGTTTGCAGCGCCTGGGGCAAAGCCCCTTTGCGATGCAACGAAGATGCCATCCAGAGGAAGGCAGAAGTCCAACAGCGCAGTCACTGTGAATGCCAAGGCCTCTGCTGATGCCTCCCTCCTCTGCACCACCTCATCCACAGGAACCGCCCTGGCAACTGCGATTCCCAGGCAAGCCCTGTAAAGGCTGGCCCATAGCAAAGAAGGATCGACTGCTGCATCGTGTTCCAGCAGTGCCGAATTGCTTTGCATGCCTGCAGTTGAGTCATGTGGCTGGCCCAAGGGCCGGCTTCCAGAATGAGCAAGCTGAGAATGGATGTCTGCTTCATGGCACAGATCAAGAAGCTGGCCCCGCAAACGAAGTGCCATGGAAAGCACCCAGTCAGGTGCCACCCCTCTCCAGGCCTGCAGCCCATTCAGCCAGCCAGCCATGCACAAAACTGCACAGCAGCGATCGTGGTGATCGGCTGAAGTGCAGCCCTGCAGTAACAGCTGCTCACCTGCCTCCAGGCGCTGCCGTGTGAAGTCAGAGTATGGCAGCGAGCCCTGCCCAGATGCTGCCACATGGCGTTGAGGCAGGAGTCGGGCAACCGCCTCCATGACGAGCTGGCACAGGGGCAGCAGACCCAGGAGGCGGGTGCCCGCCGTGTTGACCTTCCCCACATCGACGAGAGTGAGCAGCGAGGGATCCAAGGGGATCACTGACTGGAGGGCCCATAACAAAGTCGCCATGGCCTCCCTGCGCAAAGTTGCTCATATCAATTGCAGATTGACCAGCAAGGCAGGGTCTCTGGCGAGGTCCTGATTGGTGGTATCCAGTGCCAACTGTCAATTAGGCATGCAGTGTTGATTCACCACCATGCCAGGTAGGCAATGGGAGATAAAAGTAACACGTTTGATCAACTTGGTGAACACTGAGCAATCACATCCGGGCACCTATGAGGTGGTAAGGCACAATGGCTGGGGACATTGTGGGGAACTTCCCAACCTTCCCCGGTTCTGGAGCCAGCACAAGGGCAGGGTATGTCCATATAGCACACATGCACTTCATGCAGAGCAAACTTTATGGCCAACGAGGTTTCACAACCATTTGTGAAGTCAGTTTCAGGTTGCATCTGTTCTTCATCATCAATGGCACAAAGGATCAAGTTGTTCGCTTGGCATCGCCATACTGTGGACTGCTTCCATTCGGTTGCGTCTCCCCCATCGCCTGGAGCCCTTGCCAGGGGTGGTGCCAATCAACAGATACAAAAAATGCGTGGGACTTGATCTCTTCAGCCCCATTCGCGCCCAACCGGTACTCCGGTCTCTGCCTCAGCAGGGACCTCACGAGGTGCTGGTAGTGGTGACTGGTCGCCACATGCGGCGGGAACTCAGGCCGCCGCATCCTTATGTTGTAAAAGGTGTTCTCCAAACAGGCACCCCGAAACGCCGTCCTGCCATGGACTAGCTCGTACGCAAGCTGGCCGAGCGCCCACCAGTCAGAGGCCTCAGAGCAGCCCCCGACCCCTTTTTCGATGGCCTCAGGGCTGCAATACTCTGCAGTCCCACAGATTTCCCCCCCTCCAATACCATCTCTCCTGGGATCAAGCTCCCGATCCGTCACGTCCCCTTTGATCCTGGACATGTTAAAATCGACCAGCAAGACCCGCCCGTCCGCCCTCATCACCACGTTCTCGGGTTTCAGGTCCAGGTACAGCACCCCGAGCCCGTGCAGGTGCTCCAGCGCAGAGACCACCTGGGCCAGCACCCGCCGGGCGCGCTCCTCGCACATCCCCCCCCCCTCCCTCACGGCCCCCATCAGCGACCCGCACTCCCCCAGCGTGATCAAAAACGCGACAGGGCCATCCTCCCCGGCGGGTGCCACCCCCACCAGGACGGGCAGACACGGATGCGGCCGGCGCTGTATGAGCCGCAGGATTTCCACCTCTCTCAGCGCATCCCTTCTGCGGCGCTCCCTCCCAGTTGTTGTGCCCGCCGCCGCCCAGTCCACCGTCTTCAGGGCCGCCCCCCTCCCCTCTGGCAGCTCCACCTCCCAAACCTCCGTCGCCTCGCTTCTGTACAGCGGCGCCACGACGGCGTGATCCGGCCAAGCGACCGGATCGACGGTCGGGGATTCCCAGTTCGACGCTGGCCCGTTCGCTCGCGAGGCTGTAGCTTTTACGCTCGCGCCCATTTTCTTTCCCTTTTCTCCTTTTTGGGGCGAGGTTGGGTGGCTGGGGAACTTGGAGGCCCCTGGAGGGAGCGGGCTCGGCGGGTGGATGGGAGCAAGGGTATCGGGGGCCTCACCTTGGCTGAAAGGAGGCGCATCTGTTGGGGAAGCAACGACGACCGGGCGCGGCGCGACCTGACCTGGGCGGGTCCAACCGCGCCAGGTGGACAGACTCCAGGAAACCTTTGCGTCCAGCTTGTGCTTTGTCATTTTGGCTGCTCGCCATTATGACTGTCACCCAATGAATCCTGAACACAAAGCGACAGCAAAGGCCAACAACAGCAGCAAAAGGCAAAAGAATTGGTTACCATTTTATTTTGCGACAGTGAAATTGTTCTTTTTTGCGACATGTTCTTTTTTGCGACAGTGCTGCTCGTTATTGCCACAACGTTCATCATTTCTGTGACAATGCCCGAAGTGTTCTTTTTTGCGACAATGGCCCAGACTAGTGTGTGACCAATGGGCGCGCCGACGAGCGAAACGGGGTTGCCGGCCTTGAGGCTTCCAGAGCCGCAGTGTTGCGGCCCCGTCGGCAGCCGCTGGTTTCCGGAGGCGTTGGGGTCGCCCTGCCCTACAGCTCGGCTGTTGGAGGCCAGCCGGCCCTCTCCACCTTGGACGGTGGGCGTATCCGAGGCAGTCGCTCTTGTGGTCGCGCGGTGGGCCCAATGCTCAACGGGGATCGATCCCTGGGGCGTGCTGTTGGCGAGAGGTGGCGGCGCAGCGCGGTGGTGGTTCGCTGGCTCGCGGGAGGTCAGAGAGTGGGCCAAAGGATGTTACACGGATTCACTGCATGCGCGCGCACATATCGCATGCGCGATGCCCGATCGCGGGTCCATCGCGGTCACATCAAGACAAGACATGTCAAGTGCGCGTCCAGGCACATTGTCACTGTCCACCGTTCACCTGCGATCGACCCAATATCCTCTAATTCCAAGCATCTCACACCCAACCCCCTGGCCCTAAGTACTATGGCTTCAGAAGGCCATATCTTCATCAATTCTTAACGGAATCGGGCGTTTAAAAGTGCGTTGGAACCAAGAAGCTCTAAATAACACATGCAAAAGGTACATTTCCCCAATTATATAATTCCCACTATAGAAAACGCCAAGAAGTGCCTAACCCCAAGCAGCCACGTCACACGCAGGCGGCCAAAATACAAAAAGCAGGGCATGCACGGCGCAAAAGCAAGGTCAAAACCGATGGGCGGGTGTCGTGGCAAATGACCGGTGGCCCGGCGGGGAATGGGTGTGGCCCACAAAGATGAAGAGGCCAAAACGGGGGGAGGGGGGGAGGGCGGGCGGGCGGGTGGACGGGTGCTGGGCACCCTGATGGACGGTTCGTCAAAGGGCCACGGCAGCGGGCCTCTCCAGGAGGACCGGGAGGCATGAGATCGATCCACGGTGGATCTCCGCATATGCACAGTGAAGCGTGGTGCCTGCTTTGGCTGCTCGCAGGCGCCGATTGGTATCACTCGTGGGTGCCCCGATAGGCGCCCGCGGCTGGCACCAATCGGTGGCCACGAAGGGAAAGAAGGGCGGGAGTGGGAGGCGACGGGCGGCCTCCCACTCGCGCCTTTTTTGGCGTCCTTTGCGCCCAACACTTGTGCCCCGAGCAGCCCGTTGCTGGCCTTTGGCATCTGCCCCTCATGGCCATTGAACAATGCCACACGCGGGTGCCAATCTAGGTGTTGTGGAGCTACTTGGGGGCAGGCAGTTAATGGCGTTTTCTGCAGTTATATTACGTAATCTCGCTGAGTCATCCTTCTCTACGGTTTTATTATGACTTCCTGGTTCCAATGCTTCGTTCAGCACTCAATTCGGTGGAGTTTGGAGGAAGATACGGCCTCTTGAAGACGTAGTACTTTGATGCCGGGTGCTGGGTGGGGATGTTTGGAATTAGAGCTAGATTAGGGTGATTATAGGTGACCGGGGGCGCTGGGACATGGTCCGTACATTACACTATGCTGTCATTGTCTGATGTGATGCGATGGACCCGCGACCGGGCATCGCGCAGGTACATTGGATGCGCGCCGCGTTGTGTCAGACTGTAACCGCATTCGGGCCCCCTCTCTGCCCCGCCGCGAGGCAGCGAACCGCCGAACGCCGCCGCGACTCCACCGCCTGCACACGGCAGGCTTCGGGGAAGGTCCCCGAGCGTCCAAGGGCCCACCGCGCTACCGAACAACCGAGCACCCCGACAACGCCCGCCGCAATCCGGCGGAGAGGCGCGGCATCGAGGCCGCGCCATCGGGTGCGGCGACCGCCCCCAACACTCCGGAAACCAGCGGCCGCCCGCGGGCCGCAACAAGTGGTTTTGGAGCGGAGCCGAAGCCGGGAGCCGAGCAGGACGCGGCGGCGAGAGTGAGCGAGAGGCGCGGCATCCATTCGCCGCGGAGTGCCGCGCCAGAACCAGCCCCATCCAACGCGGCCGCGGAGGCGATCAGCCCGATCCGGGGGCTGAATCGCCGGGGAGATCCGCGGCCATCGAGCCCGCGCCCCGATTGGAACATCCGCGGGGCCATCCGACCGGCGCGCGGAGAGAGCCGGCGAGAGCCGTCCAAGGGAGTGACCAGCAGCTGGCCAGCACCCGGAGGAGCCGCGCCAGGCGCTCAACGCGCAGCCGAACACGCGAAGTCCAGTCAGCCCAAGCACCCAGTACTTTACGGTGCCAGAGCACCGGTACTGGCCAGTTCCAGCGAGCCAGGAGCAGTGCCAGTGTGCCAGGAGTCCCCAATCGACCAGAAAGGAGCAGAAAAAGGAGCAGACAGGTGACTAAGCCCAAGAGAGGGCAGGGCCCCAAGAAACAAGACGATTACCACCCGCCTAAGAAAAGGGGGTGAAGGACCTGCCCTAGAAGCGGAGGTCATCTGCTGCTTCAAATTGTGATGCAGGTACTGCAGGCGGGCCACAACTAGGCCGCTCTGCAAGGAAGATTGGGGTCCAGTTCAGGGGAACTGGGGGGAGATTCGGCACGGCACTAGGCAGGCCCTTCGGGGTCCAGAGATGCCCCTGCCTAGTGGCAGGTATCCCCAAGGGAACCGGCTGGCGAGGTGAGCCCATTGGCCACCTCAGGTACACAGATCTGACCCACCCCGGTGATGATTGGTGGGCAGATCTTAGCACAATAGACGAGGCTGGGGGTGCCACAGGCCAACCCAGAATGGCCATAGCAGGCCGCCTCTCCGTACTCCCCTCGTCCCAGGCACGGGACATCAGGCTAGATTGCTGCGTGGAAGTTGGGACTAGGGCACGTTAGTAAGCACAGACGCACCCTCCGGAAAGTTACTAGGGGAACCGAGAGGTTACCCTACAGAGTACTGAGGGTAACTGTGTGCGAAAGTGTGCCTGAAAACCAGCGGAAGCGTGGTGATTCTGGTTTGAGAGGTCAAGGGGAGGATAGGGACTACATTGGATAGGGGGGATCAGTGTCAGTAGTCCAAGATCAGGTCTACCCATAGACTACACAGTTGCAGCTGTGTGAGAGGACAGCAGTGATGGGTTGCAGTGTACAGTATTGCTAC